CCCTTCATCACCTTAGACAAAATAGGGTGAATACATCTCATTACACTAAAGAATTATGATTGTTTTTTTCCAGACAACATCTGAACTCAAAGCTGGTTCGTGTGTGCTAACTGACAATGCGTTACCATTACGATATGGGCTCGAAACCTGCATTCGGTTACTGTATACAATATACAGCACATATAAAGTATCTGCTTGTGGTATATGATGTAGTATACAGTAATGTCGTCCATTTTAATGTCGGATACAAGCTTCCATCATCCATACTAGATTCACCTTAAAATACGGGGTTTTATTTTGAAATCGCATCTGCTCTTTCACACCAGCTTTGGAGATTCTGTGGCGGAGCATTGATGTTGTAACTTGATGTGCACGAATCGGCTAGCGTCATTTTAGGGTTATGATGAGACTCAGACGAGGTCAAAGCCGCCATTTAGGTGGACTGGAAAAGCCTTATGGGTGGCTGGGTTGGGTTAAATTTACTATTTTTGGTTTATAAGTGGCTGGTTTTTGAATCTATCAGTAGATCATATACACGAGGTGTATTCACCCTATTTCGTTTAAGGTGTTAAGGGGACTAACCTCCCTCGAATATGAACTAATAGCGGAACTATATGCTACCTCTAATATTCAGGGACAGAAGTTAGACTGTAATTTATAACTTAAATCAAGCTTACTCTTCAGCTTAATCAACAAACTGAATAGGCCTATAGTTGTAAGTGATTCTAGTCAATGATGCCCCTGATTATTAGTTTTATCTGCTCACTATGAATTAACCCGATAACCTATTAACACCGTTAATGGAATGTTCAGAGAATGATTGTTACTAAGCGATGAGCGATTACAAAGCGAAAAAGTCAGAAATATGCAAAAAACAAACCACCCAATGAAACAATCAGAATAGAAGATGGAAAAGTTGCCTAATGATTAAATGGTATGTGGTTAAAGTATCCCATAGACAAATACATGCACATCCGTTCTCGCATTGTTAACTCCCATTGCGTTAGGTTGAATATTCTCCGTTTATAAGTGACTTGTTTTCGAGTCTACTAGCATATCATATC